GGTCATCTTCCTAACAATATATTTTGGTATAAGACGCAATACTTTGTCTCGTTGCTCTAGACCCCCTTTCACACTTTGTTCAGGCATCGAATGATTGCCTACCCGCTCGAAACTTCTCATGGTACCTTTTTACCTTGCTCTCGGTAATTTCTTAAGTTTCACTTCGAGAGTTACTTTACGCCACCTGTCCTGATGATATCTACCCGATAAGCAACATTGTAGTGCTCAGTTCTTTCAAAGATACCCCTTAACCTTTTCGTAAGTACGAGGGAACTTCTAAAGAAGGATGACTACTTCATCATGATGGGCTGAAACAGAGGAATGAAGGCATCAATGTAATGGATCGACCTCTTCGAGAAGAGCAACCAAGACTGAGAAGATTCGTTAGAAATTCGTAACCAAATCTTTTCCCCTCACTCTACCTCTTAAATCTCGGGACGAGATTTCTTGTAGCGGGGGAGAATTGTGACGCCCAGATAATTAAGCTACAGTAACCCTCTACTAATGATGCCACATCACCACGGTTACTGTTGCTAGTTTCACGATGATTCAATTCTCGTTCCGAGATCAAACTCAAAATCAAGTCAAGCAAATAAAGTTTTCAAATATTAAAACTAAAGTGTTCGAAATGTAGCAAATAAATCATAGATGATTATGGTGGTGAAACCACATTTTTTTTCTATTATTTAAATGCACTAAAATAAATAAAACAACAGCTTAAACAATTTAATAAATTACTTTTATAATTAATAAAATACTAAACTATTTTATTTGGGTGCCATAGTTAATGTGGCAATAGTATATTTAGTTACACTAAAATTAGAAACTACTTTTATCTTTTTTGGAATTGAAAATAAATTGGAAACTAAACTAAAAACAGAGAATAAATAAAAAGCAAACAGAACAATAGAAAAGAGAGCCCCCCTTTTTTTCACACTGGGCCTTGGCCCAGCTGGCCAAGAGGCCACCAGGTCGGCCCACCCCAGCCTACACCTAACCCCTCCCCCTTGACCTAACCGCCGCACCCCACACTCCCCCCCATGATCCCCACTCTTCCTCGTTCCCTCCCTGCGCCGTCACCCACGACACACACACGCAGTCGCACAGAGGAGGGGCGCCCCCTGTTCGATCCCCTCCACCCGGCACCCCCCACGCGCGAGGATCGCCATCGCTCTGTTGGGGCTGCAGCCAACCGACGCCGAGCACCGCCACCCCCGGCCTCCTCCGCACCTCTCCTCTCCCTCGCGCGAGGCCGCGCCTCGTCGCCGGCGCTCCCCGTCCACGGCGACGCGTCCCAGACTCCTCCTCGACCCCCACTGCCCCGTGCCCTGCAAACCCCGTCGTGAGACCCCCTCCTCTCCTTGCTACCCCGCTCGGCGCGCCTCTCTCCGTCGCCACGCCACGTCCGCCCGAGCCCTGCCTGCGGTCACCCCGCGCTGGTTGTGCCCAGCTCGCGCGCGCCCGCCCCCGCGGCCACTCGTGCCGCCCGGTGCTCGTGCTCGCGGTGAGCACGCGCGCACCCGCCCGCACACGCGATCGCCTTCCCCCCGGCCGCGGCCCGCGCGCCTAACCTCGCCCGTCGCGCCCCTGCATCGCCTCTTCGGGCCGAGACCGCCCCCGTCCCGCTCCGTCCGGTCGCACGCCGCCGCATCCCGCTTCTCTCAACGCCGCCACCGTCCCCTACAGCCACTACCGCACTGCTGCTTCCGACCGCAGGCGCGCCCGCGCCTCCCCGCTCGCGCTAGCTCCCGCCCCGCCTCCGTCGCTGCTGCTGCCTCCGCGCACGCACGCTCCCGTTCCCCTCGCCCTGCTCCGGTTCGGGCTCGCGCCGACCACCATGCCCCGCGGGCAAGTCCGGCGCCCCGTCGGCCGTCACTGGTGCGCCCGGGCTCGCCCCGTTGGGCGCCTGGCACTAGCGCTCGTGACCCGCCCGCGGCGTCCTGTGCCTGCTAAGGCCAGGGGCCAATGACATGTGGGGCCCACGGCCCAGAACGTTTATTAAAAAGTTTAATTAAAAAAGTTTAATTAAAAAACTAATATTAAATAAATAAATAATTATTTAACTTAATTAATTCTATTAACTAACTATTAAACCTAATTAACCTCCTAATTAATCTAACTAAATAGTTAGTTAGTTAGTTAGACAATGACAGTGGGACCCACGCGTTAGTTTGACCAAGTCAATTGACTCTTGACTGCCGACATCACCCTGATGTCATGCTGACATCATAATGGCATTTCCTAATTAAATTAATTCTGATAATTCTAAAATTAAATTAAAACTTTGAAACATAATATAAAATAAACCGTAGCTCGGATGGAAAAACTTTGTACATGAAAGTCGCTCAGAACGACGAGACGAATCCGGATATGCAGCCCGTTCGTCTGCCACGCATCTCTAGCATAGCGAACACGCAACTTTCTCCTCCGGTTCATCTGTCTGAAAACGCGAAACACCGGGAATATTTTCCCAGATGTTTCCCCCCTTCACCGGTACCACCTCATACCGCGTAAGGGCACCCCTAGCACCGATACTTGTCATGTCATGCATCGCTATGCATCTGTTTGCTTAATATTTATTGTTTCTTCCCCCTCTTCTCTTGCTAGACACCGAGACCGACGCCGCTGCTACCCAGTACGACTACGGTGTTGACGACCCCTCTTTCTTGCCAGAGCAACCAGGCAAGCCCCCCCCCCTTGATCACCAGATATCGCCTACTCTTCTCTATACTGCTTGCATTAGAGTAGTGTAGCATGTTACTGCTTTTCGTTAATCCTATCCTGATGCATAGCCTGTCATTGTTGCTACTACTGTTGATACCTTACATGCAATCCTACATGCTTAGTATAGGTTGCTAGTACTTCATCAGTGGCCCTACATTCTAGTCCGTCTGCCATGCTATATTATCGGGCCGTGATCACTCCGGAGGTGATCACGGGTACATATACTATATACTGTTACATACTTATGTTACTGTTCGGAGATGGGGGCTAAAGGGGTAGGTGGTTCCACCTAGGTAGTGGTGGGTCTGGGTTCCCGACGGCCCCCGACTGTTACTTTGTGGTGAAGTGACAGGGCAGGTTGCAGCCACCTAGGAGAGAGGTGGGCCTGGCCCTGGTCGGCGTTCGCGGTTATTTCAAGATAACACGTTTAACGAGATCTTGGTATTTGATCTGAGTCTGGCCACTGGCATATACGCACTAACCATATACGCGGGGACAGTTATGGGCACTCGACATCGTGGTATCAGCCGAAGCCTTCATGACGTCAGCGACTGAGCGGCGCACGCCGGATTGGACCGTAAGCCCGCTCTTGTATTAAGGGGGCTAGTTCTGCTTCCGGCCGCGTATGCAACGTGCAGGTGTGCAATGGACGATGGGCCTAGACCCCTGCGCCATAGGATTTAGACCGACGTGCTGACCTCTCTGTTGTGCCTAGGTAGGGTTGCGACGTGTTGATCTTCCGAGGCCGGGCATGACCCAGAAAAATGGTTCCGGACAAAGGGGATCGAGCATGTTGGGAAATATGGTGCACCCCTGCAGGGAAGTTAATCTATTTGAATAGCTGTGATCTTCGGTAACAGGACGACTTGGAGTTGTACCTTGACCTTATGACAATTAGAACCGGATACTTAATAAAGCACACCCTTCCAAGTGCCAGATATAACCGGTGATCGCTCTCTCACAGGGCGATGAGGGGAGGGTCATCGGTTAGGATTATGCTATGCGATGCTACTTGGTGAACTTACCATCTACTCTCTTCTTCTGTTGCAAGATGGAGGTTACCAGAAGCGTAGTCTTTGAGAGGACTAGCTATCCCACTCGTATTCCGGCTTTCTGTAGTTCAGTCCACATATGATACCCTTATTCCATTTGATACCAATGCATACATATGTAGTGTAGCTCCTTGCTTGCGAGTGCTTTGGATGAGTACTCATGGTTGCTTTGCTCCCCTTTTCCCTCTTCTTATATTCGATTGCTGCGACCAGACGATGGAGCCCAGGAGCCAGACGCCATTGTCAATGACGACTACTACTATTCGGGAGGTGCCTACTACTACGTGGAGCCCGCTGACGACGACCAGGAGTAGTTTAGGAGGATCCCAGGCAGGAGGCATGCGCCTCTTTTGATCTGTATCCCAGTTTGTGCTAGCCTTCTTAAGGAAAACTTGTTTAACTTATGTCTGTACTCAGATTTTTGTTGCTTCCGCTGACTCGTCTATGATCGAGCTCTTGTATTCGAGCCTTCGAGGCCCCTGGCTTGTAATATGATGCTTGTATGACTTATTTTATTTGTAGATTTGTGTTGTGATATCTTCCCGTGAGCCCCTGATCTTGATCGTACACATTTGTGTGTATAATTAGTGTACGATTGAATCGAGGGCGTCACACCGTCCTTCAGCCAACGAATCCTGATGATTGGCTGGCTTGATTCTATTATGACCAGATCTTGTACTCTTTCAGCAGGCATCGAAACAGCGGACGGGGCCACCTCTCTGTGAGCTAGCTAGCTAGTGAGTAGAGTCAACACGATTTGAATCCAGATTTCATCCTTAGACTAGTCACAATGGACTTTACTAGTAAAATCACACATTTCAATACAAGATTGCTTATGTAGCAGCTAATTAATAAGGAGAGAGGGGTTTATGGTAACTTAGGTAGTTACTGTAACATCACACATTTCAAGGCATAATGAGTCTATAACCTAATAAATGAACTTTTTCATAATAGTACTTATATGTTACTACCCACTATGTAGGTAGTAACATAGACTAATAACATCGGCAAGTTACTATTCTATGTTACTTCTCACTGTGAGAAGTTTCAGCATTATCTGAATTTTAATAAAGCTGGGCAGGAAGGTCTTTCCATCAGAAAAAAAAGAATGATCGTGCTCTGATTTCGACGAACTGGACACCACAAACACAAATCGACGCGACACGCATCGGCAAAGAGGAACATATCAATTCCGTCGGTCGTGGTCGTACAGCCACGCGCGTTTCACCACGACCACACAGCCGGGGTCGCCTGGCGAACCGCCGGCAACGGAGGCGGCGCCAAGCAGTGCTGCGGCCACCGGCACAAGTACCCCTCACCGCAGCCGGTCGCGACCGCCTGGGCTTGATGATGTTCCCTCTCCTCTTCGATGTCCATCGCTGCCGTTCCCTCGGCGTCCTCTTCCCCGTCCACCGTCTCCGCGGCCGTGGACGGCTGATTCGCCTCTGCCGCCACGTGTGCCGCGCCCCAAGGGACCAGTGCCAGGTCGGCGCTCCCCTCTTCCTGAGCGCTGGACAGCACCGCCCGCACCGTGCGGCCGTCCGCCTCGCGCAACATGTCACGGATCCACTCGGCGCCGGCGCTAAGGGGCGCCCAAGGGGGGAGCCGCCATTGGCCGAGAAGGCCGAGCCGGCCACCAGCGCGCGCGGCGTCGACGGCCGGGCCGTACACCACCACAGCCCTCTTTTCCCCTTCCGCGGCCCCGAGCGACGGCGCCGGCGGCTCCTCCGCCATCATCACGTCGCCCTCCGTCCCAACGGCCGCCGCCGCCGGCACATCGTGGCCGGCGCCGGCAATCTCCAGCCGCCTCATCTTGGTCGCGCGACAGGAAACCGGAACGCTGCCGCCGTCGCCGTCGTCGGGGAACGCGAACAGCCCCGGCTCCTCCTCGCCCTTCCTCTTCATGGTCACGCCGACGCCGGGGGCGTACTCCATGAGCACCACCATCGCGCTCACTTAGCTTGCTTGCTTCGTCGCGCGCTAAGCAAATCAAAGTGCCAACCACCAATCCAATCCCTCTATTACCTCTCTCTAGTGCCGCTACTGACTGATCCAATCCCGCTTGCCGTGCAGTTGGGCTTGTGGTTGTGCCGAACGAGAGTGTGATGGCGAGAGATATATGAGCTCGATCGGGGAGAGGGACTGGGTGGACAGGGGAGAAGAGAAGCGTGGAGAAGGTTCGGTTCAACTCCGGAAGCCTCTGGAATCTCCCGCTTCCGTTTAGTGTGGACAGCGACAGCACGAGGAGTTGATTAGGCGAATGTACCGAAAATGCCCCTGTAGGCCGTCAATAAGAAAAAATGTAACTGGGCTGTGCTGTGGGTAAACCCGGGCATGGACAGCCCGACCCGAGACCGGCACGAAAAACCCAGGCCGGGACGGGCCGGGCTCAGGCCTTGTTTTGCAGCCTGGAAGATAGTTGGGGCCGGACTCGGGCTTCAGTTTTTCTGTTTTTTGGGCCTGGTTTTCGGGCTTCGTGCTCGGCTTGCACGTGCGTACACTGAAAAACAGCGTTCGGGCCAGGCTTTCGGATTTCGGGCTTAAAAATAGGGAGTATTTCAAGCTTCGGGATGGGCTCGGACTTGAGAAATGAAGGTCGGACTTCTACAAGCCTGGCCCGAAACCTGGCCCGGCCCGGCCATGATCGCTCTGTTTAATTTTTTCTTTTCTGTTGTGTTTAAAACAGTGTTCACCTTATATTGAGAAAATGTTCAAACGTATTTAAGAAAACGTTAGCGTATATAAGAAAAGTGTTTAATGTGTATTTAAAAATTGTTTCGTATATATCACAAAAACGTTCAATGTGTATTTTAAAAAAAATCAGCGTACATCACAAAAAATGTCGATGTGTAGTAAAATTTTGTTCACCGTATATCATAAAAATGTTCATTGTGTATTGAAAAACTATTCACCTTATATTACAAAAATGTCCAATGGTTGATTTTTATTTTATTTTTTTGGATCTGTCACTGCATTTAGTTCTTATAAATTCACGCGGTTTACTAATCACTAACGGTCAACTCTCTAAGTGGTAAGGAACACTTACTCTCCCCTCCGCCCATAGCTCCAGCACGCGTGAGGGTGGGGGAACCCCGGTCCTCCGTTTTCCGTCTTGTGGATAGGTCGCTGGGCTGGTGTTTCGATGGCATCGTCATGATGGAGGGGGCGATGTCGAGTGAAATAAATGCCACAAATTTGCCCCATCCAAGTGCAGTCTGTGTGTGTTGCATGGTCGATTTGGAAGAGTTGGCGGTGGCTTGATCACAGGCGTTCCCGGAGTTCTTGGCCGGCGTGGCGGCGGCGGTGACCAAGGCGGGGAAATTTTGTGTCACGGCTCCTTCCCCACTTCATTGGCGTTTGCTCCGGCGCTGATGACGAGCTCTGCGACTCTCTGTACAGGAGCGATTCCAGGACTGCTTCCCTCTGGCTCGCCTGCAAGTGACGAGATGAAGATGGCGGTGGTTCGATCTACTTCCTCCCCAACGTGCTAGTTCATGTGGGCCTTGACTTCCAAGACTTCCTTTCTCCGGCAAAACCATCTCCTGATCCAAGGTCCGGCCGGCTCCGAGGGAGCGACGGTGGGACGACGCGCCTTCAGTTCACGGTGGTGTTGTGGTTGGTTTGGGCTTCTAGGGACCTGATTGTAATTTTCTTATTCCGTAGGGTGCCTTGTAGCATGCTGATCTTTTTTTAGTTCTGGGGTGATTTCCGCAAAAAAGAGGTTCTGCCATTGATTCTTCGCTAGAGCTTGTTTTTTAGGGATTTCTGTGGTGGCTTGCTGCGACGACAAGGAATGGGCCGGGCCATTTAGATTGCGTCCTGCGTGAAAGGTCCTCTCTTTGACGCTAGCGAGCGGGGCATTCCCTAACGGATGCTCATTGTGTCAAGATGTCAATGTTTCGCAACTAGGGGTCGCTATGGGCTGACCCATATTAGCTGTTTTAGCATGTACATTGATCCTGGTTTTGAGAAGGTTCAAACTCTGGGTTTTTTCCTAGTTTCAGGAACTTCCTAGAAGGTTTTAGAAACCTTCTACAAGGTTCCTGGACAGCTATTTCTGGTTTTCCGTTTTTGTTTTGCTATTTATTTCTTCATTTTTTGTTTATATGTTTCTTTTTTATTTTTTGTTTCCTATTTCTTTTTTCTATTCACTTTTTTTCTTTCTTTTGCCTTTTCTCTTTTCGTTTTCCCTTTTTCAAGATGAATTTATTTTTATTTTTTTGTTATTTTCAACTTTTTCATATTTTAAAAAATGTTCATCTTACAAAAGTTTGGTCACAAATTTAAAAAATATTCGAGTATAAAAAATTGCACAGGAATTTCAGAAAATGTCCTTGTCTTTAAAATTTGTTCACAAGTTAAAAAAATGTTCAGGAATTCCATATTATGTTTTTTATATATTTTGTTCACAAATTGAAAAAATATTCATTTTTCAAAAAATGTTCAGGAATGTTCACGGTTTCAAATTTTGGTTTGAAATTAAAAAAAATCACATTTCACAAAATGTTAAAGAATTCCAAAAAATGTTCATGGTTTCAATATTCCGAATATCCTGAAATGGTGCACTTTCAAAAAAATTCAAAAATTCCAAAACTTGTTTGCGGTTAAAAAATCAGAATTTATAATTTGTTCACAAATTAAAAATTGTTTTATGCTTTCAAAAAAATGTTTTTTTGTTCAATTTTTCGCATTTTAAAAAAAATCACATATTCAAAAAATGTTCTTGTCTCCGAAATTTTTTTCAAAACTTCAAGAAATGTTAGCCCTTTTTAAAATATATATTAAAGAAATGTTTACCCCAGTAACTAATTTAGGTTCGCTACAATAGTTGGTTTCGGTTTACTACAGTACTGGTTCCGATTCGCTACACTTGACCATTCCAGTTCTACATCTACGGTTAGTTCTTGGAGTTATATATACTACTCTAGTGACAAGTAAGAGCAATAGTAGTTAACTGGAGTGGCTAGGACCGCGCGAGAGTAAGCAGTTGGTCTCCGGTTTGAATCTTGGGTTCACGCGCGTCTCCTTTTTGTGCTATATTTTTTGTCCTACGGTTGAACTCATGGGCCAGCCCAGTCAGGCTGCATTATGTGCGTGGGGCCGCCAATTTGATGTAAAGGGCCTCAAATAGGGGCTCCCAACGAGCGTTAGCTAGGGGCTCTCATGTTGTGGGGGCACACGTGTATCCCCGGGCGTATCCTAATTTGGGCCAAAATGGACAAAGGCTGACCAATCCTATTTGTCCTTAAAAAGGAAAAAAAATACTCTAAAAATAGGAAAATATATTTTTACAAGAAGCAATGCTAAATTATGTATTTTTCATTAATGGTATTTGTACAAATAATCACTCTAAAGGGAATACCACATATTCATGTCTTTCAAGTGTCATAATCTAAATATGGTCCATTGCTCCACTGATTTTTTTATGATGACAAGGTTTTAGTTTTCACACGTATGCTAATTAGCACAAAGAGTAAAAAAATCAGAAACTTTGTGAAAGAAAAATTATGGAAAAACACAAGTATAATGGAAAAAATATTTTTGGTGGTCGTGAGGGTGAGGGGGTGTCTTGATGGTCCATGGCACTGAGTAGAAGTCAATAAAAACACTGGACTTCATAAAATTACTAAATGATTTATCTAATTCCCATAATTTTTGAATTTTCTTTGAATTTCTAAAATTTAAATTAGTTTTCTTATTTTTAATTTATGTTATTTTGTAACTCTTTAAGTAAAAATGTGGTCCCTCAATTATTTCAGGTACCTAACTTTGTTCCCACAAATATAACACTATATATTTTTGGGCCCCCGGTATTCAAAATTGTTTTAATTTTATCACTTGCTCTATTGAAAATGTTTTTGATGACAATATGACAACTACTTTGCTCTCATGGCACCCAAGTTACCATGAAATTCAAAAGTCAATCATGAAAAAAAGATAGAAGAACACAATATGTGAAACTTCACGGTAAAGACAAACATTTTAGCAAATTTACCAAATAATTTGTAGTTTTAAAAAAACTATGCATGGTAGAACTCTAGAAAACTATATAACTTGGTAAAGCTATGTTTTTTTCTACATTTTGTAGTGCCCCCCAAAAAATATCCGGTGTTTGTGGGAAATGTTCACTTTAGACAAAAAAAATTGTTTCACCAAAATAAATCATAATTGGTTGTAATCTTGTGAACAAAGCTCAATATGTCTTTTGCAATTTTGTCCAAATAATTTACTTTCCAAAAAAGGTAGCATCTTTAACTATTAATTTTCCATATTTTTGTAACAAAAAACTGCTCAAATCTACAACGACATTATCATTAAAATCATCTTCAATAAGCGTATGGCTAAATATTGTCATTTTTAATGGTTGTGGAGCCATTATTTTTCTGGCATTATAGTTGAGGGACCAAACATAGAGTTTAGCTGAGAAAACCAAAACTATACTTTTCTTCATATATGACTGAAAGTTTACATATACACAAGGCTTAGAGGAAAACTAGCCGCCACTATTTTATGGCCCTTCCATCATGGTTGTTCGCCTAACTTAGCGGTGTCGATTTGGTGACCGGAGGCGAGAAGAACCCTAGTTCTATGTCTATATTCCTATTATTATTTTCTCTAGTGCTATGTTTCTGTGTTTTTTGTGACAAAGCCTCAACGGTGGAGGTGGTATCACACATAATAATTGTCACGCGGCTCTATCTGAGTCATGTTATAGTCGTCATAGTCGACGAGGCCGACATGAGGGAGCATGTGGTGTTTTGTTCCTACATATCATTTGCTCTAGGTCTGACGGTTTGTCTCGGCCAATCTTGATGGTGGTGATGGCAATATTAGTGTCAAGTTTGGTCAAGGTAGTGGTTTTCATGCTTCACTCTTTTGTGCTCACAAAGTTCTTCTTAGACGGCATGGCCATTAATCAGTTAGTCGGTAGCCTCCTGTCAGTCCTTGGCCATAGTGCGTTCAATGGTCTTATGTTCTCATCTATTTGGTTGGGTGACTCAAGCGGCTCTTTAAATCCAATTACAGCTTAGTCTAGCTTGTGCATCTTTGGTCTTCTGCTTTTTTCCACTCAAATCTTGAACAACTATTAATTAAGGTGCAAAAAGAAGAGCTAGAGACGAAAGACTTCAAATCTTGTATGCAACTTCTAGTTTTATCAATCATTTTTGTTGTATGTGTGAGTTTAAGTTTATTTGACCAAACACAATTTGGTCAGTTAATCAATAAATTCATGTTGATTGGCCAAAAAAGAGGAAAATGTGTATTTTGTTCTAAAACGGATTTCTCTAAAAAGGAAAACATATTTTACTTGATGAAAAGGGAAATTATGTATTTTGTTTCTCAATTCTTTTATATAAATTGTTGAAAACTACCATCATCAATTAAACCATCTTAAGTATGCCAAGTGGCTAAATCTTGACAGTTTTTATTGTCGAGTAGCCACATATCTCAGACTGAGAAACCAAAACTAGACCTTTTTCTATATATAAAATTTTGCGCACAGGAGATGTCACAACACCCCTAAAAAAAGAGGAAATGCCACAACAGCATAGTCCAGAAGATAATGATGCACATCAAGTCTAATTTTCGAACCAGTCGGATTGTCAGAAAGACCTGTCCCTAAAACTACAGTAACACATATTCCTTGGATACAATCAAACAACATACTCCGAACAGAGCTAGAGTGCACCCCGAACAGAGCATCGATAATGGCCAAGTCATGACTCATGATGCGCCTCATGCGTCCGGCGTGGGTCAATAACACTCTACAGCCGAATGGACGGCGAAGGAGGCGGCGGGAGCTCGAAGAAGTCGATCATCTCCGGGGGCAGGTCACCGAACAGCACGTCGGCCGTGCCCCGCCGCACCGGCGCGACGAGGCCGTAATCGTCGACTTCCTCCTCCAGCCCAAAGAACCGGGGCGGCGTCTGCTGCTCCGGTTTCGGCTCCAGGTAATGCTCCGGCTCCGGTTTCGGCTCCAGGTAATGCTCCGGTTCCGATTTCGGCTCCAGGTAAGCCACGCCGACGCCGCCGTCGATCAGTGCGTTCCCGTGGAAGACGAGACCTCCCGGATCAACCATCGGCGCATGGTCAGCGGCGTAGAGGAAGGGCAGCGGTTGGTGAACTTCCGAAGCGGCGCCGTACGAGCTGCTGCATCCCGCGGCCGCGACGTCCATGGCGGCGAACCCGAGGGGAAACGGCAGGACGGATTCGGCTCCGGGGAACGGCGCGCCTGCATACTGGTTAGCCGCGAGTGGTGGTTCTTGGCTGCTCTCGCCGACGTGGTGCTGGTGCATCGTCGTCTGTTGGAAGGGGATCAAGCCGAAGCAGGGGTACTGATCCTGCCACACAGGGGCGAAATGTGCAACACTTAGGCCTCAGATCACACACAAAAAAATGGCAGCATGACTGGGTTCGAGAATGGGAAAAAAAGCACATGTATTTCTTCTAGACATTATGCTGGATTGAAAATGTTGTTTTAGGATGTGTGTGTATTTGAACTCTTAAAACTTTTGCCACCTGAAGAGTGTCAGTTTCAGCAATGAAGTTAGTAGCTGCGCTCGTTGTTAGGAGAAAATTTGATCACTACGCACACAAGACGACTAAGATATGACTATCTGAATTTGTAATTTCGTCAACTTTTACTAAGATGTGAGTCTAAAATTAATGCCCAAATATGTATATTAGAGTTGGCGTCGAACTTTTGTCGTCCAAAACAACGAGTAGACAGGTGTAATCATGTCGCCCAATTCAGCAAAAACAGGTGTCGTTCGATCATTTCAGGAAAAAACAGAGGCACAAAATCAGGTTCAGAAACAGGGTGATCGCTGTCCAGTTCAGAAGCAACAAATCCATCTCGGTTTTTCTTCAGAGAAAGCAAGCAAGAGAAGAGGGTCACCTCGGAAGCGCGTGCCGCTGCCGCCTCATGAGAGTTCGACGCCGCAGAAGACGAAGCAGCGCCTACGCCGCCGCCGCCGTTGCCGCTGTGCTTGGCGGTGGCGGCTGAGGCTGACCTCCTGCGGGGCAGCGGCGCCCGGAGGATCCTGGCGAGGCGCTTCTGCCGCGTGCTCCAGAAGTTTTTGACGTCGTTGTCCGTCCTGCCGGGCAGGTACGTCGCGATCCTCGCCCACTTGTTCCCGAACTGCGCCTGCAGGTCGATCACCACCCGCTCCTCCTCCGACGAGAACTTGCACCCCCTTCACACGGAACAAAAACACGGCGCCCTGCCTTCAGTACGCCGCGGGCTGATCGGAAACCGGAAGCCCGGCGCAGCGGGGAGGAGGACGAGGGAAGCTTCACGGAGCCAGCCAGAGGAAAACGGAAGAGGAGAGGCGGATTACGTACGTCTTGAGGTCGGGGCGGAGCTTGTTGACCCAGCGGAGGCGGCAGGACTTGCCGGTGCGGGGGAGGAGGCCTTTGGATCGAATGGAGCTCCACTCGCGGGGGCCGTGCTCGCGGACGTGCTGGTGCAGCACCTCGTCCTCCTCCGCCGTCCACGGCCCCTTCCTCACGGCCGCCCGGTCACCGCCACCGCGCGGCTGCATCGTCGCCCTCCTCCTCCGCCGCCGCCGCCGCTCGCACCGCCGGCCACAGCGACCATGCCAATCGCACGCGGCGCTCAATGGGATTCCGCTTCGCTGCTGTCTGTTGCTTCTCGCCGACTCGCCGTGCGCGTTCAGAAGAAGGGGAGAATGGAAATGGACATCCAGGCGCCCACGAACGCCCACTACCTGCGATGTAGGGAGAAGTGGGACAAACTTTTGTAAGCGAGAGCGGGGAGAGCATCATCCAAACCAGGCGCCCGATCGTGATCGGACGGCTGTTTTCAATTTAGGGGCACAACGGGACGCAGCAACCGCCTCCTTGCTCACAACTCTCTCGTCTGGAAACGTGCTTACAAATCAAATTCAAACAGAAATCCCTATCATCATGGTTCCAAATCGACCAAGGAATTTCGCTCTCTGTCAGAACACGTAAAAGCGCAACATTGGTACGATCCGTCAGAGTACAATGTTTTGACTAGATCATGAATGCGCGTGTTGCCGCACCCGTCAATTTTTGATAGATTGATAAGAACTTCCCATAATAAGTGAATACACAAAACATGAGAAATCATTTTTCATAAATTGGCTAATATATCATTAAGTTATCAAAGGAGAGAAATTTAACCAGTTTGCACTGAAGTAGTGTGGAAGAGAAGATTGGGTGCGCCGGTAGCATGATGCTCTCCTAGAGAGATATAGTCGTGGGTGGGGAGAAGGAAACAAATGTCATTATGCCAACTTTCATGAATCTAGTATATAGAATATGTATGATGGTGAAGAGGATCACAAGCTAAAGATGCAAACCATTATATTGCAAGGATAACTTATTGAAAAAAAATACTTTGTGAAATCAATGAGGTAGATGATATACTATATGGCATGCAAAATATTTTTTGAAACAAACATGCAAAAAATTATTTGCAGTCTTTAAGTAAGCATCCTAATAAGTTCATATTTTGATCGACGGCCAACTTCTTTCTGACTACAAAGTTGAAATACATGTTGTTTTCTGCGAGAAATGATGTATAATTAAAAGGCATACTTTATAAGTTCACTTCACAAATTAAATTAGAATGCTGAGATGGACCCAAAGTAGGTTACTTTTTCAAGTTCTGTGAGTTTTTTTACTCGGCTTCGATGCAATGTGCCTATGACTTCGTGCGTCACATCAATAGGATACTATGCCAATTTTATCATCATGAAGTTTCTCATCAATCTTCTGTATGGTTAGGCAAATTGCGAAATCACTAATTAAGAAGTACTTGTTGCAAAGAGCACTCCACTTTCCCAGGTCGCGACAAGTGGCGCACCTGCAGCACGCCATTTGTCGCAACCTGGGAGTTTTCCCTTTTTTCGTAGATCCGTTTATTCAAAACGTTTTATCTCTTAAACCGCGAGTCCAAATCTCGAACCGTTTTCACCGTTGGATTCCTTGCGTCGAGATCTTCAAAACTAGATCCCATGTTGATAGGTTTTGACAAACTTTTTTTTCACGAAAAAACCGGACGAAAAAACCGGGCGAAAAAACCGGACCGGGAGCATGGTTTTTTCCCTTTTCGAAAGAGGCACGTCCGTGCCTCTCGCGAAATCACAACCGTGCCTCTCGTGGAAGCAAAACTTTGACTCTCGTGGAAGGAAAAAAACAGAAAACGCGTTTTTTTTTCGTTTCCGAGAGGCACGGCCGTGACTCTCGCGAAAGCACAACCGTGCCTCTCGCGAAAGCAAAACCGTGACTCTCG